TAAGTGGGGGGCGGGGCGGGGGGGACCCGGGGGGATGGTAGGTAGATCGCTGGGCAACAAGGCGTAAAGCAGCTGGGGTAGTAAGGAGGCAGCAGGGCACATGTCAAGTGTGCAAGGGAGTGAGGGAGAGGGCAAGGTAGGGAGGGAGCAAGGAAAGCCAGCAACAACTCGAAGGCAGGCAGCGAGGAGGAAGTAGGGTGACAAGCCCAGGGAGCAAGGAAGGAAAGACGGGCTTCGAGGAGGAGCTAAGTTCAGAAAACACCACTCGGGACCTGAGGGCAAACTCACACTAGGACCTTTGCACTTATCTGTGAACATAATTGCGGTCCGGTGCATCCAGCCATGGCCATAAAAGCGGTCAGACGCATCCAGGTAAGTCCTCGTGCCCCTGAGCCGGAGAACCGTGGACATAGACTCTGCCATTCTCACAGCGGATGGCAGAGGAGCCAAAATTTAGCAGCAAGAAAGGCAGGTGCTATCCTTTTCTCTATCCCGATAGGATTTGAATTGTTGATGTGTTTCGAAATGACCTGTTTCGCAGCAAGCAAGGCAGGTGCTACCCTTTTCTTTTTCCAGGGGGTTGGGGGATGTGGGGGGCGGCGGTGCAGAATGGTCGGGGGGGCGGGGGGGGGATCAGGGAGTGAGGTCGCTGCTAATCTTACCGGACAGGATTTGAACTCTTGATCTGTTTGTCAATCGATGGTCACGTATGTGCACACAGCTCAGCCACAGGGAGGTGCAACTTAAAAGTAACTGCTTTTCTCCCTTCCTTCCTTCACCTTTTCTTGTTTCCTTGTTCCCCTCTCCTCTCCTCCCTCTCCTCCCTCTCCTCCCTCTCCTCTCTCTCCTCCCTCTCCTCTCCTCTCCTCTCCTGCATAACACACTCGTGCATGTCGTGAATGCTGCTGCTGCTGCTGCTGCTGCGTAGGGATCGATCATAGGCTATTTTGGAATCCCAACTTTGGAAATGACTAGCCCTGTAGTTGGGCCTGTCCGCCGGAATAGACAAAAAACTGCATGGCCCTATAACTAACTCCTCCCAAAATGACAGCGATCTGAAAGATAAGGTTGTGGATGCGTGTGGGAAAAAAAAAAAGAAAAAAAAAAGGTTGGACTTGTGAATATAGCTGGAACTCCGTCTGCACGAAGACGCTCGGGTTGATATGGTAAGCGTTGGCGCAGATCACGACTTGCGATCTGAGCGGTAGCATAGGTCATGGTAGCATGGTGCCGTCCTGAGGTGACTTCCCCTGGGTCCTCGCAATCCACCTGACCTCCCAATGGGTGAGTAGTACTGGGGGCACCTCCTGAGGCCTGGCCACTACCCTCTACTACACCCTGGACCTTAAAAAAAAGAAAAAAAAGAAAAAAAGAAGAAGAAGAAGAAGAAGAAGAAGAAGAAGAAGAAGAAGAAGATACCCGGAACTTCGGAATACCACTTTGAGAGCTGAAGAGCTAGGCTGCCAAAGAGTAAATAAATAAATAAATTTGGTAAAGTTTTTTTTTTTTTTTTTTTTTTTTTTTTTCCCCCGTGACCCTGAGGCAAAAGTTGTTCGGTCTGCATAAGCAGCATAATAACGCAATTTTTTTTTCCAGATTTTTTGGATTGCTTTTTTTTGCTGGGACTGTCTTTGGTCCTTCCACGGCCGAACCGCCTGGGAAAACAAGGTGACCCGGGCGGCCCGGCTGGTAGCCTAGATCAAAAGGTGAAAAAAAAAAGTAAAAAAAAAAAGACTCTGAGAGCTCAGCATTTGAAGTTGTTGTGGTGTTTAGATCTGTTTTCTTTCCAAAGGAAAAGAAAAAATAAAAAATTGCTCAGCAGTTAAATTAAAGCTCAGCCGGGGCCATGTCCCACTTGCACCGTTGAGTTGAGCTAGCTCAACGGTGCGACACGGTTTTCGTGATTAAAAAACTATTTTCTCGCATTTTTTGTCAATTCCATAAAGACCTTTTCG